CTGCTAAATCCTGTGGTGTCAGTGTAAGTCAGATTCTTAAATGTATGCTTTTTCAAAATACCAATCTCCTGGATTACTCAGACGTTTTAAATTATTTCACTTATAGTGTATTTGGTGCAAGTGTATCAAAAAAACCCCAAAGTCAAAATATTTTGAAATTATGAAATGTCACAGTTTTACTCAGTACAGATAGGAATTTTGTTTGCATGACAAAATCTAAAAAAGGAACATGAATACATGAATAATAATGATATGCAGCTGCGCTACTGAAGGTGTTTATGAAATTGTTTTGATCCATGCTTTATTAGACTGATTTACTAAGCTTTCACGTTCATAGAACGTAATTGTACTTTAGCTTATACTATGTATTGTCATTCAGGAACGTTAATATTTTGTTGATAAGTTCTCTTCTATCATCTTAGAAATCAGTAGGCTCTCTGAAACTCTGATTATCTTCATAATATTCTTGCCTAATCTTTAATGATGATATATTGGTTTTCTTTGTTCTCAGTAACAGTTTGGTGTCCATATACTGTTTTTAAGAGCACTCTTCAAAACTAGCAAAGATCTGAATGATTGAAATCCATTGGTGTATTTAATACACTTTAAGTTAGCACATGCTTTATCCTTTAGAGGAGACAAACATACAGCTATGTGACAAAGTGCTATCTATTCCATAGCCAGATGGTCTGTATGACATAGCTTCCAGTCAATGACATCCAAGATCTGAAAGGTGATACAGCTTGTGTGCTGAGCACTTACAGGTTCCATGTACTCCTGCAGAAGTAGCAGGTCACCAACAAACTCCTAGCAACTCTACAGCTTTCATCACCAATGGATTCTGTTTATCTTTTTCCTTACAATTATGAAAAGAAAAGGTGGAATTACGCTGAAGGAATTTTTCTGGTGGAAAAACTGTGTGTAAAGCATAGTTTTATCATTTAAAAATGTATAGATGGGACATAAGCCTTGAAAGCCGATTAGTGACAAAAAATATTTTTAGGCTAATTTTATTCCTGGGTGTTTTTTTTGTTCGTTCTTTTCCAAAATTAAGTGTTTGAGTGTCCATGTTCTTCTGAATTACTCCTAACACTTCAGCTAAACTCCAGTGTTTGTTAATAGGCTAACAATGGGAACTGACATACAAATCTACTGCAAGCAGATGGTTAATAAAGATAGATTTTTAGCTTCTGATTTCCTGGAGGTTAATGTGGACAATGAAATAAGATTAAACAAAAGAGGTTTCTTTAGTTTATTTAAAATGGTTAGAAAGAGTGGCTCACATAAGAGAGCTCAAATACATGAAAGGCTGCTGAAGGGGAAAAGAATAATTGATTCCCCTCACCCATAGCAGGCGAAATGAGACATTAGAGGCTTAAATTATAGTGAGGGAGATTCAACTCTAAGACAAACTTCAGAGCAGTAGGATAGTAAAGTCCTGTAATAGAGAGGGAAGTGGTGGAGCCCATTGTCTTCCAGCTGTGTTTTTCTGTAGTTACCATGAAAGATTACCATGGCTTCCATTTTGCTGCAGGACAAGAAAGTCCTGCCCAAAAACTTCACTTGAAGTAGTAGTATTTTATCTTCCTAAACTATATGAAGGAATAGGACATATCACGGATTTTGGAATCTGTGCAAAGGGTCTCTCTGTTGGCATTCCAGACATTACATGTTAGATGGATCTACTTCACTATTTCCTTGTTCCAAGACAGATGAGTTCCTCAGGATGACAGATGTCTCACCAACACTGCATTGTCATTGCTGAAGTGCATTAAGGCAGAGAGACGTCTAATTTCAGTAGAGGGGAAAATTCTTGTGGTCATAATTTCTTTAAAATGCTGCCTCAAAAATACAAGGATGTGAGGAAATTGTTTTCCATTGTTCCCCTGCTGTCTCTGCCTCATTCTGTTTCTTTTCCTCTTTGTTGTTTTGCCCACCTCTATATTTTGGTCTTCATTTTAAAGTTAAGCTTCTCCTCCCTAGTTCCCAGCATTTGGACTATGTACAATAGAATCAGAGGGGCATATTTCAGGTATCTGACAGCATGAGCCAAGGTCCTTCAAAATTTGTTTAATAGAAGACTAAGGAATCTGAGGAATACAACAGGAACTAGATTTGATGTCACTTATTTTTTTTCCATGATCCTTTCTCACGGGGAAAAAACACTAGTTGGCTACTAGCTCTCAAGCATTCACCAGTTATTAGTCTTGGAGGTTAATTTGTCTGAATTTTCAGGAAAAAAAACTTGCTTTCAGAGTGTCACCTGACTTTCTGGTATGTTGACTGTGTCTTCTGCTTGCTATTCTGAAGGCTGAGGGAAGACCCAGATGGTCTACCTCCTTTGTTCAGTGATAGAGACTATCAGGCATCCTATATTTAACTTGTATTTAAGTCTTTTTAGAAGGGGAAAGGCTACACTGTCCTCTCCTGCTGTTTCTGAGCCACGTCTCTTTTCTGTGTCTGCCGTGGCACTCAGCTAGATCCAGTTTGTCCTCTCTGCTCCACTTCTCCCATAAGCAGTACATTCCAGGCTATTCTTACTGTCTTTCTATAGCTTTCCTAATTTAGCTTTCCTAATTCAGATACCTGAAGGTTTAGTGCCTGGTAATTTTAGTTACTTGTAACCCCATACCTCTGTCTCTTCAGTTATGCCACAGTGAGAAAGGTTTTGAGTGGTAATAGGTGGCCTCACAAGCCTATCAAGCAATTTGTGTGCCCTTAGCACCTGACAGAGAGCTTCATGAAAAGCCCTGCTCTGTGTCTGCATACCAAATTCATGCTAAGGCAGCAAGAAGGTGGCATTGTTTGAGACAAGTGACATGCTGCTCAGAATTAATTTTGTTCCCTGACTGATCATTTGTTTTAATATCACTGATTTGAGAAGGGTAAGCTCAAAATAACCCCATTCTTAAATATACTCATTGTAATGTGTAATATGAATGAAATGTAAATTCAAAAGGACACTACATGCTACATTGAAATCAACCCGCTCTGTGTCAAACTTATTTCTTACTGCCATGGTCTTGTTTCCACCTATTGCATTGCTCTTGCTAACCTTCCAGGTCTAGCTGTGCCTTTCAGAACCAATAATGGAAGGAAAAACAGACTTCCTGTGCAAAGCGACACATAAACTAAATTATTTGTGTGACGATCCAAATCTGGCACAAACGTAGCATTCACAAGTTCACTCTTGAAGCTGAGAAGTACAAGAAGTGAGGACTGTGTAAAGCTGGATGTAGGTACTGATTGTAGCAATTCATTTATACTGGAAATAAGAGCATCTTCCTATCTACAATATTTTGTTCTCATTCCGAACGCCTCCTGTATATAGAGATAGTGTGAAGGTGAAAGAGGTTAGGGTGGGACTTAATCCTATCTGTACTGTATCTCCCTGTTGTGTGGAGCTCACAAACTGTGTTGAGGTGGTGTCTGAACTGCACTGTGGGAAGTTAAACCTGTTTAAATTAGAAATATCTGAACTCATAACCTGAAGGTTTCCCCTGTCTTTTGTGACAGTTTTATCTTTTATTTACACTGAGCCAACGTTCACCTATAATACATGTTCAGTGTTAGTAAAGTGAATGACAACAATGAGTTCATCCATCTTGTGGGTCTTCACTGTGTCCATAAAAGAGGAATGCACCACTAACATGGTTAACCTGCTACGGAACTGAGTTGGGTAGACTCTGCAAGCTAAACTTAAGGCTGAAAATTGCTGACTGCACGGTTTGGTGTTAGGCCATGTTTAAACAATATGTATAAACAGATAAAAACCCCGGAAGTGTTGTATGAGGCAGACAGAGCCCACAACACACTGCAAGGACAGAGTGGGTGGATAGCATTCATTAATGTAATGATTCAGAATCCGTGAACTGGGATGTGATATGTTTGCAGGAGGTGGCTGAACCAATTTTTTATTTGTTTATCCATTCATTTTTTTTTTAAAGAACAGAGGATCAGATTTATGGAGTCACAAGTACTGTGTTACTGAAGAGAGTGAAGCTGCAGCAATACAATTTAACTGTGTCTTGTAGATTGGCAATATATGTTACCTTTAATTCAAGTGAGTAGTTCCAGTCCTTGGATAAAAGGCTCAGACATTTCTAAAGATATATCAGAGATCTTATTGCCTCAAAAGTCTTACATTGTGCTTTGTATAGGGTAGATTTTCAGAATGCTTAGAAACATTAAGATAATCACAGCTACTTGCTTATGAAACATTGCCTCAAGAGGACAGAATGTTTCAGAGGGTTTTTCCAGGTGTTCTGAATATACTGGCTTTAATCCATAAAGCTTTTAGTTATTTGGACCATTCTTTCTCCCTCTCACTTCTACACAATTAAGAGCATAAACATTTGGCATTAATCCATCTCAATTTAAAAAGAAAGATCCTCTTATCAGGGAGTTTCCTGTAAGTGGGGACAGACTCTGCTACTTCACTGTCTCCTGGCCACCTGCTTTGCCTACAAGTACATGATTTTGCTGTTCTTGGAAAGCTGAATGTCTACCCTCTCTTTCATGTTTTTTGAGAGATGATAACAATATAGTGTAACTGTGTGAGAGCTATTGTGGATTTATTATTATAGTTGGTGAATATTATTATCTACCATGTGGGCAGTCAATTATATGTGGCATATATTGTAGATTTTATATTTTATCTGCTTAAAAAATTTCTTGAAGTGCCTAGAGCCAGGGTTAGATGCTTAAGTTGTAACTTCAAATAAATAAATACATTAAATAAATAATTGAAGAAGGCAGTTTCAGATAATAAAGAGAGCTGGCTCCTGGGTAGAAAACACTGTAAGTCTTAACCCAACAGAATCTTTAATAAAGGAGATGAAATAAAAGCCCCAACGAATTTCTTCTCTGAAAACCAAACCAAACAAAACCTCAATCCAAACTAACAGGATTTATGCTTGGTGAATTAGAGGCTTCTTTATATACGGTACAAAACTAATTACTAGGCAGCATTTTATTTACCTCTAATTTCTATTTAATAGCCACTGCACTTGTCATTGCAGGTATGGTTACAAAAGTATGGCTACCTTCCACCAACTGACCCCCGAATGTCGGTGTTGCGCTCTGCAGAAACCATGCAATCAGCTATAGCTGCCATGCAGCAATTCTATGGCATTAATATGACAGGAAAAGTGGACAGGAACACAATTGAGTAAGTAACCAGTACTGAACTGCTCTTGACTTTTCTGTTTCAAGCAGGGTAAAATAGATCTGGAAAAACTTTACAACACTTGAAGCAGGGTGACGGGGAAATCCAAATAGTGCTGCAGCTTCAGGTGGGGAGTTTTCTCTCTCTCCTTCCCTTTGGTTTGGTTTTTTTTTTCCTTCTTCTGTATATCATGGTAGCAGGAAGTCACCTGCCTAACTGATGTCTGCCTTTGGGCATATGATTGTAAAGAAAATTTTCCAGGGTTAACTAAAGAAAGGGACAAAAGTTTATCAACATGGAAGTGGAGTAACCTATTCAAAACCGGCAAGAATTCATTAAATGTTTCACAGTGGAAAGATTCTTTTCTTACTGGAAAATCTTTGATATAATTTTCCTTATCCTCATTGAAAATAATTTTAGCACACTCCACTGGCCCATTCATTTAATGGTTTTGAGTAACAAAGGACCAGGTGTGGTCATTTTAACATGCAGTAGAATTGAATGTTTTACATGCCCTTTGCAATTCTAAAATTGTGTAAGGCCAGCAGCGTCTGATTTTACTGACAAAGTGAACACAGGGAAACTTTGGGAAACAAAGCTATTAAAAGACACATCCAAACAACTCTATACTATGCCAAGTTTAAAAAATGTTCCAGGAAAATGCCAAAAAAAATAAAAAAAGAAAAGAAAAAAAGAAAAGAGTATTAGTACACAATTAAGAAAACTTATCTGGCATTATGATTTGAAGTCCATGTTGGACTCATTGCAGTTAAAATGCAATGAAGATTATCTTGTGATTTCAGAAAAAGTTACTTTGCTTGAAAAGCAAACAATAAGAAAATAGTACTGTCACTACATATCCAACATTTACTTTATTGAATTATGTTTCTACTACTTCTCTAAAATGCCTTTTAGGGGAGAAAAAATAATCTTCCTTTGTTACCCATTTACCAGCCCCAGCCCGATATATAATCTTTGGTATTCTTTTTCGGTAAAGCAGCTGACCTGAATGATTTTTCTGTCATTTAGAGTTTAGGGAAGAGACTACCCAAAATGCTGGCAGGATTGGAAAAATCGTTTTATTCCACTGGCACATGCATTATTGCATTGAAAAGCAATAAAGCAAAGCAGATTTTAGGGCTGCCCTAAGGGGAGGTGAGATGATCACACATCCCTCAGTTTAGGAATTTAAAGGACCTTAGAACAAGCAGTGCAGTAGCAGTAAACACTTTGTGAGAGAGCCATGCTCGAAAGTACGTTTATGATCCAGTCTGCAGGGTCGAGAGACTAGACTCTTTATACAGCTTCAGCGATTGATCCTTGAGGGGAGAGTGCTGCTATACCACACACTAGTAACCTTTTAAAGACACATTAGTGGCAGCTTTGTAAGAAGCAATATATTTCACTAAAAGCAAAATAACCTGTTCATAGTTAGCAGTCCAGACAAGATAGAAAGTGGTAAGCTAAGGAAAAGTGGAGACCATCTTTTAGTTTAGAGTGTCAGCTAACAAGTTGAAAAAAAAACCAAACCTGACAAAAATATATCCTTTAATTGCTAAGCAAAGTGGTTTATGTTTGCTAAATTGGGCTTGTTAGCCAGCGTGTCGGCAAGGTCGTCTTCACTTCTTCTGCTATGTAAAAGGCAAAGGAATCCTTCTATGCAGCAGCCCAAAAAATTAATTTTACAATCTGGTGGATATTGAGTCTTCCAAACCTTTTGATGCATTATTTTATTCTACACAGAAAGATGTATTAAAGCATGGTAATTCTTAGGCACATAATTCTTATCGTGCTCGATGTATTCTACTAATTAAACATTTGGAGTTGCATTGTGAGTCAAGTTGGGAACAGAACTGATTCTTAAAGACTTGTCACATTTGCATTGGTGTTGAGAAAAAAAATAAACTCGTTAACTAAACTTGCCTCAAGTTCTCATCAATTAACACCACTGAATATTCTTGGGAAATATGACTATATAACAAAGGATTTTTTTTTAAATTGTTCGGTTTTGGCAGTATTTTGTAAATGTATGAAATAATTTTCCCTTTCATCTACACAGAGAGTACAGGTACTCTCTTTTGGCCAGAAATATGTGACAGTTTACCATTTGTTTCTCTGTGATTAATATGTTATAGTCACATACAATGCTGGGATTACAAAACAAAGAGTACAGCAGGAACTTCATAAAAATAATATGTTCTCATCTTGTGTATGAGAATTTATCTGTCTCTCTAGTGTGTCTTGAGAAGAGATTACAATGTGCCTCTTCATCTTCAGAAGGACAAACAATTGAAAGTTATATTAGTAACTTGATAGGAGCCAACTTTGGGGACATTAGCAGAGAAATGTCCTACAGCAGCATCATCAAAAGTCTTCTGGGGAGATTTTATTGCTCTGAAGGAAAGATAATCCCTCAATAAGTATTTTGGTATGCCTAAATATGAACAGTGTTCATCTTCCCCTGCTACTCACCATTCACTTGTTTTTGCTATATTTTTAAATTTGTTTCCCAAGTGGCTTGAAAAGCATGAATGCACGCTTATTGCTGGGGATAAGGAAGAGTGAGTGGTAGAAAGAGACAACATTATAATGGCATAAAAACATGAGGAACATTCTGAATACAAGTATCATGACAATGGCAAACTCAATGTAAATAGTGTCTGACTTTTGAATGGGGTGCCACAGTATTTTCTGTGGTTCATTTATATATTACCAAACAGAGTAAATGATTTAAAAAGGAGACTTCTGAAAATGGACCCACTGTTGGCATCCTGATCTTTCACATCCCTAAGCCAAACATGCTAAGTAGTAAAAGACAGTTGTCTTTTCTTAAAATTTCTATACATGTTTATTTCCAAAACATGTTTTGCAGTTAAGAAGTACATTACAAACTTATTGGTATACAGATAGAATGGTTGTGTATAGTATGCTGTCTAAATACAATAGTAACAAGGCATTAATTTTATTTTAATGTTATCCTTTATAAATAAATGGCAAATGTGCTTATTTTAATTCTCAGATGAGCTGCTAACCGAGTTTACTTCAAGGTTCATAATTAAGACATAATCATATTTATGTGTGATCTCTGCTGTTTATATCTAAATTATCAGTCACAGAGTAAGAGTGAACGGTAAATTTTCAGCTGTTTAAATGGACTCAGTGGTCTAATTTATTAGTAAATGTTTTCATACAAAAGCTATACATAAAGTCTTATACCCCCAGCAAACATGGAATGAGAAGCCTTGCAGACAAATCATCATCAGTAACAGGGCTGAAATACAGTATTTTACATCACTCTGACTGCTTCCTATTGCTTACAGGAGTGTTAGTAAAGTCCTGTGATAGAGTATGGTAGGGAAGAGTAAAGACATTTAGAAAACATATCTTGTCTCTCCTCTCAAGAAGTTTAAGGGTACCATTCACTACATTTATTAAATAAATGTCTATAGCTTTTCCTGCCACTAAGTCAAGTTTGACCCTCCCTTTTATTTTCCTTCTTTGCTTTAACTCTGTCAAAAAAAAAACCACCACCCCCACCCCCCAAAAAAAAAACCCAAACAAACAAGCAAAAACCCAAAACCACCACCGCCAAAAACATCATACAGCCTAAGCAGCAGTTTTGATTCAGGATAAATGGGGGACGTGTTTAACTGAAGGTAGGTTTTTTAATGTTTTGATTCTGCACTAGGCCAAAACTTTTTCCTGAAGGCTTACGAAGGTGAGGAGACAGAGAAAGATTCTTCCTTTTAACCTCCGAAGAACAAAATATGGTTAGGCAAATTGAGTTATGAGAAATTCAGTTTCAGCTCTTGCTCTACTGGAAGAGTCTTGCTACATTTTTTTAATTTTAATCTTTTCAGATTTTCTGTGAGTTTAAAATGTTTTGGTTTTCTTAACGTGTATAGCTCCTCAAGATTCAAACTAATGGAGCTAAGAGAGGAATTTTATGTGACATAGGCTACAGATAGAGTACATTAGTCACAATTAATCCTCTTTATTGAGTACTCATAAAATATTAATTTTGAGGGGGGTTTTTAATATCTTTTTGCGTAAAAGATTTCTACAAGTTCAGAAACAAACAGATGAGAGGCAAAGTCATTACCACTATACACCTTTTTTAAATGAAAACCAATTATTTCAAAAAAAGCCCTTGATCATATTTGTTAAAATGAGCTATATTTGGAAAAAAATATAAATTAATGTGTTATTTTTCAATTCACCCTCAGATGGATGAGCATGTTACACACTAAGTATCCCCAAATGTCATGAGCATTAATGATTACTACTGACAGAAGTCTTCCTCCCAGTCAGTGTAAGAATAATTACTGTTTAAAAAAAAATGTAACATACTGAAAAAAAAAAAAAGGAAAATTTATGTGCCAGAAGTTGTTAAGATTTTGCCTCGTTTCTGTGCTAGAAAATACTGAGCTCCAATACTAACCATGTAATAATTTATTTAAAATTCTGACTGCTAAACTTAGTTCAGCTAAGATGGAGGTGACAGATTTGGTCGTAGTCCAACTCTTCAGCTGCAAATTGCATCTTTCCTTAAATTTCACATAAAGACAATTTCCTGAAAGCTAGTGAACCACTTGTGCAAAGGCTTCCATTTGATTTACATTGGGATTGTGAACCACAGTCTCAATCCTCATGTAAGAACAGAAGGAACATTAATGGACCAGACAGCACAACAACATGGAACATTCCCGACCCATCCAAACCAGTAAGGATACAAGCATAATGTTCTTGATACGTACATACCACTTCAAAATCAATGCAAGAATAAATTGTGACTGTTTGAATTTCATAACGTGTTATTTTGGGCTATGTTTTGTTTTGCTAAAAATGAATTGTCAGTAGTTCTGGTAAGATAATACAGTGTTGAATGCTACCTACTCTTCTTGACTTTTGGTATTAAATCTTAAGTGTAAAACACTTTATGCTAACATTATTTTCTGTAAGGGTATTGAACCTTTGACATAATTGGAGAAATTATTTCAATAACAGCTTTTAAGATCAATTTTTAAATTCACAACTTGGAATATTTACCCTTAGCTGCCCCTGGCTTGCCAGTGAGTGAACCCTATTATTAAAATATGTCTTCATCAGTTAAGCTAAATAATTTAAACTTTTTTTTTTTTTTGAGTGGGGGAGGCCTAATTCAACTGATTTAAAGTCATTACCCTTGAAACAATACAACTGTAAGTGATATATTATATATTTTATACAAGACCCTGACATTTTTGTACAGTGTTTCTAACAAAATATAAGTTATTTGGTTTTATTTTGTTCCTTGCTTCTTTCTTTTGATGTAGTGATATCACCTTAAGGTGAGAACACTAATCTTTTGTTATGTATATGTCTTTTTCTGCAATGTGTGTGTGCAGTTTCAACAGCATAATTTAAATATACTGTCATTAAAATGCATGGTGGGTGACTGCATGATGATCTAACATGCACTGTGAGAAAGTATTATTGACGTGTCTAAAAGTTTTCTGAGGTCTGAGCCAATTTTAGTCTCATTTCCTGAAGTGTAAATATGATATCATTTTAATAATAAAAATAGAACTGTCCTTTGGTCTGTAACTAAGATCTGCTTCTTTCCTTCATTTTCTTTATTATTAGAGCAAATTAAACTTTCCAATAATAGTGCATCCCAGAAATCTCTAATGCCTGCTTTCTTGAATTGACACTTCTTTAAAAACAGCAGGAACCTGAAGTAAAGTTGCAGAGTGTTTCAGCAAATACTGATGGGGTAGAGTTTTAGAGGTTTTTCAGTATTGTCTTTGCAG